GTTTTTTTGAGGCTCTGGAGGGATCTTAGGTGTCATTTAGGCTTTGGTGTTGCAAATCACAGCTCTGCAAAGGTGCAAATAGAAGTAGCATTTACACATGTTTAAGGAGAAAATGGAGTCAAACATGCTGAGCAGCCTCAAGGCTCCCTGTACTTCCACGTTTCCACAGATGTTCAGGGTAATAAAATGATTGGGGGAGAGAAGTACACAACATAGGAACTGACAAGATCCTCCACAGCTTGCGGAGCCATGAATTTTACCAGTAGAAATTTGCCCCTTTCTTGAGACCCTGCCTGGGATTTGTACACCACTTCCATGCTATCGAGTGTTTAAGAGTTTATATGTCAAGGTCTGCGATTGTTAGAGTATCTTCAGGCAGCACGCAAAAAGGACCAAACCATCCTTCACCTAAATTTTGGTGGAACAAGAGATAAATTTGGCTTAGCATTTTCTCTCTCCACTGGCTTATGAACTGCACTTGCAGATGTTGTATGTCAGTTTGTGGAGGAAGGCAAATAAAGAGCATGGTGAAGGATGTACAACGATGCCAATGCCAGAGGTCTCCTGGAAGAAAGGATGGCTAAGAAGCTTCCCTACTTCAGCTGCACCAGGGCTGTGAATCCTCTGATGAAGCAAGATGGTTTTTTGCAAGTGTCACTGCAGCACAATACATAAAAGCTCTGTAGGTAGGTGGTGATGCGACCACTGTCTGCTTGCCTTAGGCCCATGTGCACCCAAGGTATTGGCAGGTGGCAGCTCTTCTTGATTAGAAAGATCATGTGGGAATTCTGGTGCTATTTGTGTTCTACCATTTGTATTCTCAACTGGGACAGAATCTGACTCCTACTAACAAAACTTTCCTGTTTGAATAGTCTCTAGGTGATCGGTATGCGCAATCCCATTCCTCATTTCAATTTAATTATAAAATAATCTCATGCAAGCTACAAGACAAGCTAGGGTTCCCCCATATGCAACACTTTGACACCCACAATACTGTTACCTTGAACTTGTTTGCTTTTATAGCTAGACAACTTTTCAACGCCTCAATGTTGTTTTAACAGTTAAGTTGTTACCTTGTAGCTATAAAAAACATATGGAGAGATGGGAAAAGGAAAAAATCTGACTTATCCTACAGCACAACGAGTGATATTTCACTTCATAACTCCTCCAAGCATGTTACAAGGATGGCTGGACTAAGCCTCATAGTGCTGCTGCTGAAGATGGGAGAGGAAAGAAAATGCAGTAATTTTGTGATCAGGAAAGTCCGGGGGTAGCATAGTGAGCGTGGGAGCCAGCTGTGCACCCACTTAACCTCACAGTGTTACCAACCTTTTAAACTCTATCATTTATTTCCCTTTAGGGCAGTCATAGGCAAATGTGGTGGGAATCTTAATGATAACTCCACGGAATTAATGAAATAATAACATATCTGATTGAGTATCATAATTGCTCTAGCTAGCTAGAACCACACAAATTAGCTTGCAGGCTTGCAAGGCAGCGGGTCATATCTTGGGGTGGGGAGGGGGCTATATCACTTGTGAAAAACATTAGCACTAGGCAGTTTGCAAGTTTGAAATCTGAAGAAAACTGTCCCTGTGACACTGCAGGACTTCTGACAAAAAAAAAAAATAATAGGAAAATGAAAATGAAAAAAAAAAAAAAAGAAAAAGAGCAAGTGGAGAAATAGAAGAATTTGAGCTGAAAAAGCTAAAGATTGTTTTTCTCCATATTCCATGTCTCTAAAACTGAAATAGGTAGAACCATTGGCTCTGTTTCACGTGACTGTTCAGGCCCCACAAAGGGCCATGCAATATAGCTCAGACCTGCTACGAAAAGGGTAAGATGCATAAGGTGTAGGTATGTTACAGTGGTGATTCTTCTCCCTGCTCTCCAGTGATCTTTCGGCACCTTTTGGCTGGAGAAACCCAACACTTCCACCTGAAATCCTTGTAACTCTCTGTTAAAGGCTCAGCACTTCCTTTGACCTGGTCACAATTTCTGGAGTGCAAGGGCAATATGCAGCCTCATCAAAGTAGGAGTGGGGAAAGGAGGGAGGGCAGCAGGAGAAGTTAATTAAAAAATGGTTCCCTAACAAAGGTAGAAAATTCAAAAACTAATGATTGCTTTTGCCCACGATAGTTCAGTAGCAATTTGTGTCACTTGGATTTTACTTCTTTTGTCATTGTCTTTTGCCTTCATTTGTTTTCCCTGATGCCCCATAAATCTTTAAACCCTGAAGCTAAAAGAGGCTGCATTGTGCACGAGCTTGAATATTGATTTTGCTAGAGAGTATAAAATCTAGAGAGATAATAAGGAAATCCATCTAAGGTACCCTGCCAAGGGCTCCCATTAGTTGCTTTACCAGGCATCAATTCAATAAACCCTCGAGAGCAGCACATAAATAAACATCAGAGCCTCTCTGGCATGTTAATGCATCAGTTGCCTAATTGTCAATGCTGCCAACAGACTCCAAGAAAAGTACTGTCTTGGGAGTTCAGCCCCTTCCAACTTCAAGTCCAAAGAAGATTTGACACTGGCTTAGAAGAAGGCAGGGCTCAGGAGAAGGGGGTGTGACAGCCAAATAACATGGGCATGGCTGCTTTAAATCTGGTGCTGACCTCCTGCTGGATGCACAGCCCAGCTCTATGCAATCCAGGCATGCTGCCTCCCTGTTGCCTCCCAGTGCATGGTGATGAGGTGCCCCAGGTTAGGCCCCGGGCTTCCCCTGGGCAGGACTGGAATTTGTGTCTGAAAAAAAAAAAGTCTCAAACCTTGGCTGCAAGCAATAGGAATAAACTGGTCCTGAGCTGCTAGGTATGAACAACTTTCTCCTCTAGGGTTACCAGCGAGCCCCGGGGTGGCAAGAACCCAACATCTTATTCCAGGCTCTACTATGTGTTTTCCCTGCGACCAGGGCCTTTTTCTTTACCCCGTGGGGACCCTTATTCCTGGCACAGCTTTTTTCTGTCTTATCTAATGAGGTTTTAAATTCCTCGCAGAGAAGTTATTCTCTCCTAATGTGTTCATACGGTGCCTGGCACAATAGGGGCCTAATATCAGCTGGGACCTCTACTTGCTGCTGTGATAATAATTTTATGAGCAGCCTTTCATTAAGATCCATTGCTATTTAAGAAACAGCTGCAGCATCACTTTATAATGCTGTTGACTGTTTTAACTCCCTGTGCTCCAGAAACAGGGTTTTGATCATCCCTGTAGAAATGGGTATGGGTAAAAGAGGCTGAAGCATGAACAAAAAGGCAATTTTGCTATCA